ACACAAAACGCATGATCGCACCGGCTAGTCTGGTGCGCGTTGCCATTTATTCTATCCTGTATAAAGAGGACTCATGGAAACTGAAAATATTCACGAATGCGATTAGTCAAAAAATGGGCTAAAGTTGCTTTACAGTACAAGCTTCAATCGTCAAAATCTTCAAAACTGCGTTTCCCTTTTGCATCGTTACCTCACATTCTACCGGGTAGATAATTGGCCTTGTCCTTCTACAGAATTTCATTACGCCTCCTAAATGCGCCAGGATCTTTGTGCCTCACTGTTGCTGTGCTCAGCACTTTTAGGATGCGAATGCTACAATTTTTACGCCGCTCACATGGGAGTGCCGAAATACTGGACGAAATTTTATTGATGATCGGACTTATTGGTGAGCTACTGTTTTGCTGCACCGGAATGCTTCTGTGGATCACGAAGAGCGACGAAAATGACGATGAGGCGGGTGAAGTTTATGTCCTCATTGTATACGTTGTGCGACTGCTACAAGTTCTCATCCAGACCGTCTTCATGCTCGTTGCAGGAAGGTTGGTGGCGCAAATATAGATATATATATATATATATATAATCGCAATTATATATATAAGTATGTATAAGAGTTAAGAGTAGTTTGTTCGCTAGTTAAGACTATTACATTTACAAACTTCCACAACATTACCGAAATTTCCCCTGTCGACCGAATTTTCATTTCTTAATTAGGGAGTTTTGCGAGTTCGCACACTTTCGCGCTTTTGAAATCTCTGTCTTTTTTCGATTTTTCACTGAATTTTGTTGCCTTCGGAAAAGTTTGAGAAGGCCGAATGGTTTTTCTCTAGCTGTACCATTGATTTATATTAATAACAGTAAGTTAGCAGGTTACGAGCTCATTCACTGGAAGCGAAGGAGCAAAAGCCCGGGAAACAGATCGTCACGTTCTTGCTAATGGCCAATGTAACACTGTTCTTCTTTTATACGTTCGAAAGCGTCAACGCAAGCTATTGCCACAAGAACGTTTTCGGGACACAGTACATCATCGCACATACTGTAGCGCCGCTCATCGTACTGTATCGCTTCCACAGTAGCGTATGCTTGGCCGAAATTTGGAAGCACTGCTACTCGGTGAAAACGGCTTCTGATCGAGCGCAGTCGAATTATTGAATTGGCAGTATTGCACCGACTGAAGCAAGCGAAACCCCTATTTCTCGGGAAAAGCAAGACCAGAAATTCGATACTATTGAATTTGGTACTGCACTCACTAGGATTCTGTGGAGTGTGTAACTGATATTTGCCTTGTTTGTGTTTGAATATTTTGAGTACTTGAGTTGATTCCCACTGGTCAATTCTAGTGTTGGATTGTAAAGATTAGGTGTCCAGTCAGAAGTGGGGACCAGCAATTCCAGCACTTTACATTTATTGGACAAGGCAAACAAAATTAGAACATGTGACAGTGCTCGTACACATTCGTTTCCTGCTCGTTTTTGATGTTAACCGCAGTAAACGCCCCACAAAATATCAGGGGTACTAGGCCCGCCTGGACAATCGATATGGGAATCCTATTTGTTAGTGGTGTGTTACTCAGATAATCCCAAAGGCCGGCGTCTGCAAAAACCGGCAGTGAACTGAGACCAAGATGCGCTCACCACACTGATTTGTTATAGTGGCTGGTGTTGTTGCGGTGTAATAGTGTGCAGCTTTAACAATTTAAACATTTTATACTAATAATAAATATTAATTACAACAAGAAAATTTCTAAAAAAGTGCACAGATAATAAAGGAAACGTGATGGATGAGAAGCCACCACTGAAACTCGGTTCGGCTCAACCGTGCAAAGTGCACTTGGTTGTTGATTGTGGTGCGAACTTCGAAAGCAAAGTCGTACATAAGCTGAGGCTTTGGAGTGCGTGCATACCTTTATTAGCTATCACTTAGCACCCATTTTCTTGCTAAACACCATAAACCTAAATAGCCCTCCCTGCCATACAGTCGCCGCCCTCTGTTTCCAGTCCCTACTTTCAAGCAAAGTCTCAGCTCCTTTTCTGTTAAAAGCGTATCCCTTTCCCGCTGTTTTGACCCCCCTACCATTCAAACTAGCAAAACTAACCCTTCCTGTCCATTCGTTCTTAGGCCTTTCTTCCTCCACCCATACTTAAATTCTCTTTATCCTTACCCGCCACCCCAGGAGGTCATACAAAATCTTATTTCTCTCATCCTCCAAACCAGTGAAGCCGAGCCGAGTTTCCGTAAATGTCAAACAACAGTACTTTAGCTAATGGAATGCAGCAAGTTACCACTGAAAATGATAAAAACGGTGGATTTGAAACTGAATATGATCTCTCGAATATTTTGCAGACTGAGTAGTCCTCACAGCTTTGTTACCTTCAAAGCTTTTTCACTTTTTCCATCAGAACTGCAAATTCATGTAACTTGAAAGTTTTGACGAGCATTACCGACATCTGAAGATTATTCGAATGTCGCTCACGCCAGTAAGTGTCATTTTTCGGAATCTCCTAATCTCCCACAGCAGTTTTTTATTCACAGATATTCTTGAAGGTCGTTCGCTATCAGCAAATTTGAAGAATCCTAGATTCTAGCCAGTTGGATTCAGCGTTTTCATTTAAGGTCATCTTATGCTTCTATACAAGTGCAGCGAATCCACTCATCTTGCTTCGTTAATTTCAGCATTTTCTAAAACTATCGAAAAAAATTTCGCTTTATCCGTTTTCCTGCTGCATTGTATCGTCTTATGTATAATACCACAGGATCCGGAACAATTTTTACGTTCCTTTTTGCAGCTTCAGAGCAAATTGCATTTCCTCAGTGGTATGAAATGCCAGGTTGAAAGATGCAATTTTAAAATTCCAGCTTTTTCCTCCTTATTCCCTAGCAGTGGCTAAATTGGTGAGCTTTGTGACTAAACTTTCAAAATCTCAAGCGCAAACCTTTGAAGACCACCGGAGGTGGCTCCACCACCGAGCACCTGATTTTCCTCATCGTCATCCTAAACCTTTAAAATTTTAACAAAAAACAATACAATCGAAACATATTTTTTTTGTACTATAAAAGAAAAAGATCACTTTGGTTGCATCGGATTTCTGGAAATTACGAGAACGAAAGTATCGGAAGAATCGGACCAATGAACATCTCTCGGGGGTAACGAAAAATACAGAACAAATAGCCATCTTTCATGCTCGTACTTAACTCTGCTTAAATACGCCCCTGAGGCCAATTACCTACCTGTTTGATCCTGAACATTCGAAAGGATCGAACAATTAATGTATACTGTAGTGAGAGTGATCCATACGCAAAATACTAGCAGCGACCATTAATTAGAGAACGTGGCTCAAGGAAGTGGTCTCGCTTCCCCTATTATTACTATTACCATTTTTATTATTATTGTTAATATTTTTGTTAGTATTACTATTATTATTATCAGCACGACCAATATTATTAGTGCTATTATTAATATTAATGTCACTAT